TTCCTCACAATTTCTCATCCTTCATATCCAATCTATTGCCAAAGCCTGTCTGTTTCAGTTTTGCAACATCTCCTGAATACAGCTCCAATTTCTGACGCTGCCACCACTCTAATGCAAGCCTTCATCACCTCATACCTGGATTACGGCAATAGCCTACTGGTGGGTCTGCCTGCCTCAAGTTTCTTCTCACACCAATCCACCCTTTGTTCAGCCATTAAAGTAATTCCCATATATATCAGGTGCAACCATGTCATCCCCTACTCAATCTACTCCAGTGGCTTCTCATGGGTTCCAGGAGCAAACACAAAATACTGTTTGGCATTCAAAACCCTTCATAATTTAACCCCCTCCTATCTTTCCATCTTCTTATACCTTACTCCACTGACACATATTCTTTGATCCAATGACACTGGCATCCTGGCTGTTCCATGAATAAGACACTTCATCTCTCAGGCTCCAGGAATTCTTTCTGGCTGTCCCCAAGCCTGGAACACTGTCGCTACTCATCTCTGCCTACTGACTTCCCTGGCTTCCTTTAAGTTGCAACTAAAACCCCATTTTCTACAGGAAGCCTTCCCTAACCCCTCTTAAATTCAGTACCTTCCTTCTGTTAATTACTTCCTATTTATCTTGTACATAGATTTCTTTGTATGTGTTTGCATGTTGTCTCCCCCATCAGATTGTAAACTCCATGAAGGCAGGGATTGTCTTTTGTTTCTTTTTGTATCCACAATGCTTAGCCATGTCGCCTGATATGCATAGGAGGTACTTAATAAATGTTTATTGATTAACTGATTAAAGCACTTTCTTCACAACAACTCTGTGAAGTATCCCCACTATGCCTACAGTCACATATCTAGTAAGTGCTGGATGTGAAATTTGAACCTCTGTCCTTTATGTCACACTGCCTCTTCGTGAATGCTTATATAAATAAGTGTATAAATGGGGGTAAGGGGTGAGAGAAAAAAGGTAGGGAGAGGAGAGAGAGGAGCAACAGAGAGAGAGAATATATACATGATGGGGGGAAACTAAATTAATTCAACTCACTATTACATTGTCCTTTTATGGGGAACTACAATGTTTTTCCTATCACAATTAAAATTTGAAAAATTCTCACAAGCACATAGTAATTCATTGAGTAAAAAAGTAACATAGTACAAAAGAACACATTCATTGTGGAGGTAAAAGATCTGAGATCAAATTCTAGCTCTGATACTTGGGGGGGCAAAGGGAGGGGAAGGGGCAGCTAAGCATTCATATACCGTCTATGTGTCAGGTACTTTAAAACTATTATCTCGTATGATTCCTCATAACTCTGGGAGGCAGAGACTGTTATTATCTCCATTTTACAGATGAGAAAACTAAGGCAAACAGAGGTTAAATGATTTGCCTAGGGTCGTACAACTAGTAAACAAATGTCTGAGGCCAGATTTGAGTTCATGTCTCCCTAACTCTGTCCAGGCCCAATGCTCTACTCACTGCAGTACCCTCTCCAGTCTGTGATGAACTTGTGATCCTAGACAAGGTTGCTTAACCTCCCTGGATGTCAGTGGCCTCATCTGTAAAATGGAAATAATACCAAACATCTAAAGCTGTGAGGAAACTGAAGGGGTCATCTAGCCCCAGCCTTCATTTACAAATGAGGGACTGCTATTACCTACCTCTCAACACAGCTACTGTAAGAAAAGCAAGTTGTAAATTTTGACACTAAATAAGCTTATTATTATTATTACTGTTATTAAAGCAAAAGAGTTTCAGGGAAAAATGCCTGTAAAGTCTACCTGTAATATCTCTCAAATCTCTTTTCCATTCCCACCACTCTCTTTGTTTAAACCCTAAAGACCTCTCAGACTATTACAAGAGCTTTCTGACAAGTACCACTACTAAATCAATGTTCCTCATGAACAGATCTCATCACTTCACTCCCCCTGCTCAAGATTCTTCAATAACTCCCCTAAAGTTTGAACTCCTTTACTAACTGTATTAAGTAGATTAGATAGCTAAATGGATGAATTAGCAAGACCCATTTAGAAACTGCAGCTGTCCAGTGTTTAAACTGTAGGGATTAACATGGCAGCAACCAAAAAATCTAACAGTATTTTAAGAGAATCAAGCTTCCTATTAGTACTCATTCCAGTTTCCTCAAATTTTAGGTTAACAAAGACTATACATTCAATGAAAATTGATCTTATGTTACTGCCTAAAAACAAATATTTGTGCACTTAACTAATAAGTTTCCTCTTAAAATACAAAGCACAGATTATTATGTTATTTAGGTACCATGTTTTACTTCAAGTCTTAGAACTCCAAGTACCTAGCCAGTTCAAACTGTCTGTTGTTGAGCGACAGCTAGGTGGCGCAGTGGATAGAGCACCAGCCCTGATGTCAGGAGGACCTGAGTTCAAATCCCACCTCAGACCAAACACTTGATACTTACTAGCTGTGTGACCCTGGGCAAGTCACTTATTGCCTAAAACAAACAAACTGTCTGTTGTTTAAAGATACTTTTAAATTGAAAGTATTCGAGCAATTCTGCCATATTTTAAATGGCCTATTTCTTGTTTAAAACAAGTTCACTGAATTGAAGGAAATCTTTAAATCGTGCCTACGTTATACTGTCTACTCTTTCCAGTCATAATTATCTAATTTCTTTGAGACCTATTTAAAAACCAGACTTAGTCAGAATATATCAGATTTGAAGACTTTATCTCTGCTACATGCCATTTTGCAAAGAGTAAAACACTAATGGCCTACTTAGGCAATCTTTATTTATCTGAAGTTCAAGTTTTTCTACTAATATCCTGAAAAGACAAAAGTAAAAGTTTCTTCTTAGGATAGCACTGGTTTGAGAGGTGGAAGGAATTCAGAGTTAATCTAGCTATTTCATTTTAGAGATGACAAAACTAAGTCTCAAGGAAAGTGTAAGATTACAGGGGTAGGTAGTAGTGAGTAGCACCGAGATTAAAAACCAGGTCTTGAACAAATTAACTTCCCTGGGCCTCAATTTACTCAATTGTAAATGGGGGAAGGGAGGGAGAGTTTGGACTAGATGACCCCAGAGGTACCTCCTAAATCTATATCTCTGATGTTAATTACAAATCTAGGGCCATGTCTACTAAACTATACTGCTTTTGAATTGTCAAAATGTTGCTCAAACTCACTCAGGAGTTACAGTTTTCCAAAATAAAGAACTTAATGTTTAAACAAAAGAACTGATTTGTGACCTACACAATTAAAGCCTAAAATTGTAAAGAACAGAAGTTGTTTTTTTTTTTTTTAGGCAATTGGGGTTAAATGACTTGCCCAAGGTCACACAGCTAGTAAGTGTCAAGTGTTTGGTCTGAGAACGGATTTGAATTCGGGTCCTCCAGACTTCAGTCCACTGTGCCACCTAGCTGCCCCCAAGAACAGCAGTTTTAAAGAGCCCTTTTGGGGATCATCTATTCTAATTTATCCTGCTTCAGGGGTGCAGTATGATGTAATTCTGCTAATACAGAATACATTATTAGTCAATTCTCCATAAATCTTTACTCCTAAACTATATTGCACGTATCATCTGTCATACATTCATGTTTTCAATCTGATGGCAGTGTGTTCTAGAAATGAAAAAAAATTAATATTAGCATAAAATATATTTGCCCATCAAAAAACAATCCCAAACCACTAAAACGGAAGAGTTTTAGATTACCTGCGCCACTGTCTCTTTAAAAAGTACAGATAATAAAGATCTGACTATGTTTTCATCATCCTGATGTAAAGTTTATTAAAACTGACCTAATATGGGTAACAGATCAGCTAGGTTGTATAGTGGATAGAGTACTGGGCCTGGAGTCATGAAGACCTGAGTTCAAATCCTGTCTCAGACACCTACTAGCTGTGTGACCCTGAGCAAGTCACTTAACCCTGTTTGCCTGAGTTTCTTAATATGTAAAATTAACTAGAGAAGAAAATGGCAAACCACTGGAGTTATCTTTGTCAAGAAAACCCCAAAATGTGGTCACTAAGAGTTGGACATAAACTTTAGAAATGACTTTAAAAAAAAAGGACTAACATGAAATCAAAAGCCACCCAATTCCACCCAATAAAGGTAATCTTCCCGTAGTAAACATATGGGAAGTGCATTTGATCCCCATACATGTTTTCTCTATACTATTCCCTTCAAGTTTATTAAAAGAAAATGCCATGAGAAATAAGATGAAATCAAAGAGATCAATCTGCACATACAATGAAACAACAGCTAGAAATGAACTTGAAAAAGTTAAAGTCACTGCACAAAGGTAAGGTTAGTTGCATGCTGGCCCCAGTACATATATTTGTATATTATATACTGCAGCAACAGACAGTAAGCTCTTGAGAAGGAGCTAAGGACGATGGCCCACATATTTTACACAGTAACTACACCTGAGAGACAAGAAAGATAACTGCAAAGGTTCTTATTAGTTTTGATGGAGGCAGGTAAGGAAACTGCATCCTTAACTGCTAACTATCTACATTGCTTTCCACAAGTGGAAGCAAAGCTGGTTTTAAACGCAGTTATAAAATAGACTCAGGGTATAAGTCAGCTATCCCATGCTTATGCATGCCCTTCACACCTGGAATCATGTCCTAGTGCAATTTCCCAAACTGGCCAAAATGAGGTGATGCAAAAGCTGGTCATGCTGCCGCCCTCAACGCAGTGGCCCCATCCTGAAATAGTTGCTGGGCAGACCCAAAGCCAACTCTTGTGGCACCGGGACAGCTCGTCAACAACGGCTACAAGGGACATCTTCGGTCTTCATCCATACACACAGCAATACCCCATAACACGGGCAACGTCTATCATTGCAATGGGTGAGCCTCTGAAGCTACCTGTATTTGTTTGTGAACCACCCTGGATGTGACCGTGCAATGCCCTTCAAGCTTACAGCACACCTGCACGCATGCACGCATGTATTCATTCTCCCAGTTGCCCTCGAGCAATGTCTCTGTCTCGGCGCCCCCGAGGCCCACACCTTTCTCACCTGATCTTGTAGTTGGGTAAGGTGTGCTTGCGCTTGAGGACCTTCTTGAGCTGGTTGACAATGATGGAGGTGAGCTGCGGCATGGGGCGCCCCTCGAAGTGGGAGCGCACCTCTAGGTCCATCACTGGCTCCTCCACGAACGAGAAGGCCCAGTGGGTGAAGGGCAAACGAGTGAAGACCAGCCGCAGCTTCCCTGTCATGTGGGACAGCTTGACGAACAGGTAGGCGGACTTGCCGAAGACCAGGTCCACGTCGATGGCCAGGTGGAAGCCGCCGCTGTACTCCACGTCCAGCTCGAAGATGAGCTCCTCTGGGCAGGCGGCCGGGAGCTCCTCCGCGCCATCGGTGACCACGGCTTCGTTGGAGAAGGAGGGCACCACGGGCTGCAGGAGGCGGATCGTCTTGACGTAGGGCACGGAGCGGCCCAGGGACACTTCCCGCAGGCCCAAGCCCTCCAGCAGCCTGCCGGCCGTCTTGCTCTGCAGCAGCTCCTCGAACTCCACCCTGATCTTCTTGGTGATCCAGTGCCGGGCCACGGCCGTGTCCCGCAGCTCCCGGAACAGGAACAGGAGGATCGCGTTGAGGAAGTAGCAGGTCTCCACGGTGCGCGGCACCTCCGAGTGCGGGCCCCCGCCCCCGCCCCCGCCCCCGCCGCCGCCGCCCTCAGGGGGCTTCGACGACCGGCCCGAGCCGCCGCCATAGAGGTACTCGCGGAGGAGAAGGCCTGGCACCGGGGTGACGTGGTGGACCCCCCAGTCGGCGGCGGACGGCCGGTACAGCGGCTCGGGACTCCTTTGATAGAGCAGCAGGAACTGGGCGAGGAGTGTGAGAAAGGAGCCGACGAGGGCTGACACCGCGATGATCATGAGCAGCTCCATCCCGCCGCTGCCGAGGCACCTGCTCCGGCCCGGACCCGGACACCGCCGCCTCCTTCACGCCGCCGCCGCCCCCGCTGCCTCCATCTTGAGGACATCGGGCGGCGAGCTGGGGTTGGGGTCGGAGCCGGGGCGATCGATTCCCCCTGCCTCGTCTTCCGGCCCGGGCCCCGGTGGTCGTGCCCTGGCCGCGGCCGGCGTCTCCCTCCCGAGTTCCGCTGGCTGGTGGTGGGGATGGCCGTGGCGGGGGCGGAGGGAGGGAGCGGGACGGGCTGCCTCCCTCCCGCCCGCGCTCATTGGATGAGCCGTACGTTGCGTCGGCAGCCCCGAAGAACGGGCCTGTTCCCCTGGCGTCGCTAGGGGCCCGCCCCCTTTCCGCGCGTGCGCGAAGGAGGGACACCTTCCTTACCTCCGGAGGTCGCGATTCCCTCGCGCCGCACCGCCCCCCTCCGCCTCCGCCCCCGTTGTTCCCTCCCTCCCTCCTCCTCCTCCTCCTCTCCGCAGTGGGAGCGCCGGGTGCCAGCTTGCGGCCCCTCACTGGGGTAGGTCTTGAGACAATCAGCCAAATTAGAAGGACCCAGTGGAAGTGGGTCAGCACGTTATTTAAAAAAAGATAAACAGACTCTTCCCTTCTCCCCCCACCTTTAGGTTGGCGGCTCCTGGGAGCTGAATTGGGTGTCCTCTTGGCCGGGTAGGGCCCCAGAGATTCAGTGCAAAGAGATGCATTTTCAGACTTCCCCAAAAAACGAAGGAAAAGGGAAAAGGGTCTCAGGGCAAGGCGGAGCCAAATTAAATGAAATAAAATATTTAGAAAACACTTTTTTTTTTTAAAAACCAAGTGGTCTGGGGAACTGCCAAGAGCCCAGATTCTGGAGTCAGATGCCCCAGCTTAGCTGCTTAGCACCTGCCTAGGTTGACCTTGGGTAAATTCACTTCTCTCTGGGTCTCGGTTTCCTCCTCCATATGCCAGGAGAAGTTGACCTAATCTTTTAAAAGTACTTCCTAACTGAACTCTGTGATCTTTTGTTCGGGGTACCCAGCTAGGTGCTCGGTACAAAAAAAAAAAAACATAAAACAAAATCGCCCTCCCTAAGGAATCTGCACTTTAGTTCGTAGGATTTACAGATGCTTGAAGGGATCTTGGAGATCTCTAAGACCAAAGAGGGGTCTGAACAAGTCTCTCCTAACTCTGAATCCATGATCCCACTCCCCCCAGGAAAACGTCTAGGTTAAAAAAATGTCCTCAGTTTACAAATTATAAGTTAGGAAACGAAGGCCCAGAAAAGTGAAATGGGCTGCCCAAGATGACATAAATATTGATTAGTAAAACTAAATAGCCAAAAAGCAGATTGTCTGATGCTAAATCCAGTGCTTCTTACACTATACTGAACTTTCCTTCCCTTTATATTTGTTTTGGTTTACTTCGAATCCCCCATTTAGCCTAAGTCATTGTTTTCCTAAACTAAAAAAAACAAAAAACAAAACCTGGATGGTGTTCAAAGTAATAATTTGTTCATATCAACACATGAAGCCCTCAGATAACTAAAGGAGAGTAAAACATTTAAATTCAATGATAATCATTCCAAAAAAACCTAACAACAAAAAACAAATAATAAGAGGGATTGTGTTTAATTACTGCATGATAGATATAGATATTAAATGCTGTAAAATTTTAAAGGTGTGAAAAACCAATGAGAAGTTGAGAGGGGTCAAGAAAAGGCTTCTTGGAAGAGATGGGATGAGATCTGAGTTTTGAAGGATGGTTAGACTGATACTAGGAAAGGAGAATGTGGATTTGTGTGCAGGAATGGTAAATAAAGGGGAAAGTCTGGCCAAAGCAAAAGGGCAGAGGTAATGGTAGACCCCTAGAAAGACAGACTTACCCAGCACTGGAATCCTCACTTCTTCTACACCCCACTCCAGCTGCTTACTTATTACATCACAAATGCTGTTGCCAAGCCCCTCCAATCCCATAAGCACCAACACCACTTTTAAGTGCCAAGCAACTTAAGTGACCCCAGTCATAAAGAGGAGGTCAGTTCTGATCTGGCTCTGGCATTACAGGGCCATTTTTATTCTCTGACTGTAGGTCCATTTCCAAACCAATAGTTCCCTCACTCCCTTATTCACTCATTTATTCAACAAAGAGACTGATGATTCCAAAACCAGTCTGAGAGTTAAAGACCCAGGGTTCTGATTTGATCTAGGGCCCAAATGAACGCAAATATGTGTTATCTGGGTTCAGTCTAGGTATTGGTTGAGCCCAGGGATGATCCAAAGCTAAGTCCTCTCTGATCCAGACATGAAATATTAGGGAACTTTTGTCACAGCTTATTTTTCTCTTTCTAACCAAACATCAATATTTATTAGTACCTAGCATAGTAGTGTTGTACATAGCAGGTGTAGATCTTTTTTTTAAATGAATGATTTTCAGGGTACCATACCAAAGAAATCTGCCTTGGAATTATCCACAAGAAGACAGTTTCAATAATCCATTTGGTGGACTATCTTTTCCCCCTAGCAGATTTCATCAGTCTTTAGCCCATTCCTAAATTATGTCCTTCCTCCAGCAGCCTACACCCACCCTCCCTTGATACATATTTAGGCAATGCAAAAATAACTTGAATAATCACTTAAGCAAAACACAATCGAGATAAATCTAATGGAGAAAGCTGTCATTGAGCCAAAAATTTTTTTTTTCAATTTTATCAGGTCTTTTGAGTTTTAATCATCTGTGTTCCCTTAGCATGATAAAGTTAAGTGAATGTGTGCCAATAACTAGTTTTGTCACCTTTGGGAAGTCAGGTCATATCTCTGGACTTCAGAGTCTTAATCCACAAAATACTGGGATTGGATATCATTTTTAAGGGGCTCTTCCAAATCTAAAACTTTGTGATACCATACAGTATTTGGAAGACGGAAGTACTGGCTTGACTGCCTATTGACCTTTCAGTAAATAACAGATTACACCTGAGAGTATCCATTTCAAGAACTGAGATGAATGAATATTGAAGGACAGATTATATAAATTGCATTAATTTGACCAAAGACAGTTATTCTTTTCTTTTTTTAAGAAAAAAACAGAAGAATTATAGAGAGAATTTTAGGTTGTACCTTCTCAAGTACAAACTACACCAGTACAACTAAAAAACAAACATGAATGTTATAGGCAAAGTAAGATTGGAACTACAAAGAAAAGCTACATGGTAAGTACCCTTTTATAATAGAATAATAATAATGGTAATAATAACAGAAGTAAGATAGATTTTTAACATTTTGCATAATACTTCATATAATACCCCTACATTTTTTGGAATCTTGACATCATCGTAGAATCACAGAGCTAGAAAGAACCTTAGAAATTGTCTATTGGGGGGCAGCTAGGTGGCTCAGTGGATAGAGCACTGGCGGTGAAGTCAGGAGGACCCGAGTTCGAATTCCGACTCAGACACTTACTAGCTAGCTATATGACCCTGGGCAAGTCACTTAACCCCCATTGCCTCCAAAAAAAAAAAAAAGTAGTCTGTTGGTAAATCCAATCAATCATTAAGCGTTTATTAAGCAACTACTGTATGCCAGACACTGTGTTAGGTAGTAGGGAAACAAAGACATAAAATAAAGCAATTGCTTGCTCTTAACTCAGGAGACAAGGTGTGTCTGAATGTATATAAATATATATTTATATGTATGCACACAGAAGTACACTAGAGCCAAGCCAAACAGGGGAGACCTGATTGTTAAATTTTCACTGTGAGCGTTTATACCTTAGATAAAACCAAATGCTACGAATCAAGGTTTGATTTATTGTTTTGTTGATTGTCTCTAGCCTTAAGAAAGTGATGGAGAAAATGTTAATTATGAAGATTACACTTAAAAGTTTATAATTTTTTTGAGAAGTGATTGTTAAACATTTGCCAGCACAACCCTGTTTATGTGATTTTTGTATACACATATGTGAATATGCAGAACAAATGTATATAGAATAGAATCAAAATCAGTACAAACTAGGGCACTAGCAGTTGGGAAATCAGAAAAGACTTGATGAGGAATTGATCTGTTTTTGAAGTGAGGGATTCTTTGAAGTGAAGGTGAGGAAGGAATACATTCCACAAAGGAGCATGAGGTGGCCAGTAAAGGCAGTGACAGTGGACAGAACTGCACTGTTGGGAAGGAAAGATTCTATTGGGATAGGATTTGGCACGAGGCCATTTTGGAGAAGCAGTCCCATTGTCCTGATGCTGGGGCTCTCTGGGTAATCCCCCCACCCACCCCCCAAAAAACAGAATATAAACTCCTTGAAAGCAAGGGCTGTTTTTGTCTTTGTGTTCCCAGGACTCAGACCCATATTAGAAATCACTAGATCTTGGGGCAGCTAGGTGGCGCAGTGGATAGAGCACTGGGCCTGGAGTCAGGAGGACTTGAGTTCAGATGTGACCTCAGACACATGATCCGCATTAACTGTGTGACCCTGGGCAAGTCACTTAACCCCATTGCCTAGCCAAAGGAAAAAAAAAAAAGAAATCACTAGATCTCTAATTTTTGCTACAGGGAACTCCTGGTGGGAAAGATTCATCTACCAATGCAGATCAGCAACCGTTTTGTAATTTATAGTCCTAGAGAATTGCCTTGGAGGCACTGAGAGATTAATTGACTTGCTCAGGGTCATATAAACAGCATAAGTCAGAAAAGTGAGAACTTGAACCCTGTTTGCCCTGAGTCTAAGGCCATTTCTCTCTCCACTTCACCAGAGATATGAAACCCCCAGACTTCCTTATGTCAGCCTCACTCCTGAGTGAGATTGGTATCCTGAACCAGATTAAAATGTAATAGGAAAATAATACAATAAAACATCGATAATGTTAACATGTGGTTTTCTGTGTCAATATGTGGCCCCCAGAGTTCTTATGTAAGGTTAATAGCCCTGTTTCTATCTGATTTGACATCCCTGCTGTTATCCCATGCTGTCTCTGGGCTTTGCACGTGATAGGCACTCAATAAATGCTTATTGGATTGGACTA